AAATCGCTGATAAAGAAATTGAACAGCACGGGCCCAAGGACCGAGCCCTGGGGGACTCCGCTGCCCACTTCCCCCCAGGTTGAATATGACCCGTCCACCACCACCCTCTGAGTACAACCCCTCAGCCAATTAGCAATCCATCTGACCGTGTAGGCATCGATGCCACAGTCGCCTAGTTTTTTAACAAGGATGGGGTGAGAGACAGTGTCAAAGGCCTTGCTGAAGTCCAGAAAGACTACATCCACAGCGACACCTGCATCCAATGCTTTTGTGACCTGATCGAAAAAGGCAATCAGGTTGGTCTGACATGACCTGCCCCTAATGAAACAGTGCTGGTTGCCCCTCACCATCACCCCTGATGCTGGCCCATCACAGATGTGCTCCTTGATGATCTTCTCAAAGAGTTTCCCCAGGATTGAGGTAAGACTGACGGGCCTATAGTTGCCCGGGTCCTCCCTCCTCCCTTTCTTAAAGATGGGGACCACATTGGCTATCATCCAGTCATCTGGCACCTGGCCCAAGCACCACGAGTGCTCATAAAGCCGTGCCAAGGGCCCTGCAATAACCCCTAGCAGATAACCCCTGCAATAACCCCTAGGCAGATAAAGTTCTTTGGGTAAATGTGATAGCTTTTATTAGAGCAACTAAATAGCTGGAAAAAAATTTGTTGTTTGCAAGCTTTTGGGTACAAATGCCCTTCTTCAGTCACAGGGAGAGTTTGTTGTTGCTTTATGTGCTCTCCTGGAAGTAGATGATTATAGGTAAGGCATAGCCACCCCTATTTGCTAAGACTGCTCTTAATGCAGCTTGTGCCTTAATGAGAATTTCTCCAGTAATTACATGCTGCATCACTGCTGGATTCCTTGTCCTGGAGAGTAGGAGTGTCAAAGTCGTTTGGGCTGGATCCAGATTCACAGGACTTCCCATAGGCAGATGACCCGTGAACAGCAGAGTTAATCCCTACAGCTGCCAGAGCTGCTGTTTCAGCACAGCTGTGGAACCCCAGGAATTAATGCCACTTCTGCTTGCCCTCCTCCCCCTGCCATTTCTTTTGCCATTGATTTTACGTGATGACTAAAACCATCAATTTTGGCAGTGGGCAATGGCGGGTGGTAGGGTAGGTGAGTAGTGTTAACTCCCCAAGTTCCAGACACACTGAAACAGCAGTTCCAGTAGCCACAGGAGTTAACACTTCTGCCACAGGGAGCTTCAGCAACCAGCCCTGTGGGCCAAATCCAGCCAAGAAGCTCCACGGGCAGATGTTTAACCTCCCTGATGCAGACATCAGAATGCTGTGGTGTCTTGAGGAGGGGTTGAGGCTCAAAAGAGTGAAGAATTAGTTGAATATTAGGGTGTGTATCTTAAGCCTCTGAAAACCAGAAATCAGTTCTGTAATACAGCATCTGATATTTGGGTGAAAGATATACAAAGCATTGCTGGATCAACTAAGTTTAACTCTGTACTTGCTAAGCTTTTAGGTAGTAAATTTCCCTTGTTTCTTTAGGAAGCAGAAGTATTGGCAGGAGTTTGGTGAGGGAATTAATGATTGTTGAGCACAAGGAGGCTTCCCCCATCTGCCAGTCATTAACTGTTTTGCTTGCCTTCTGGCCTTTTGCTTGGAACACAGCTGGAGGGACCATGCAAGGACAACAGGTAACCAGGTAGAAAAAGCAAAGGAGGATAGAGGAGAGCCCTGGTCTCCATACTTCACTTGCACCAACGAGTGTTGGTAAAAAGAGTTTGTTTATAAAGCCCTACACAGCATAGGAGGATTGAGAGGTATGAGATGTCTTGGTGAAATGAATCAGCTTTGAGTGAAAATGAACTAAGGGAAAAAAAGAAAAAGCCTTAAATATGCTTGTGGGCTTCTGTCAACAAGCAGCAGCTGTGATAGGAGACCTACCCATATGCCTGCACACTGACATAGTTTTTAGCAGGTTCATGTGGCTCTGGTTTATCAGCTGTGTCAGCAGTGCACAAAGAGCTCCTTGGGTAGACTAGGCAGAAAGGTGCATATGTCTACACACACCTGTCAGGTGGCAGCAGAAGCCTTAGTCATTTCAGTATAGGTGGCGTAAAACTTTGCAGGGAAGAAGGTTCTGTCATCACAGGCATCATGGTGGATCATCTCGACTTCTTCCTTCCCTTTCCAAAAGTGTATCCAGTCCCTGTCAAGGAATTTGCAAGACCATCTCACTATGCCTGTCAGTTTCAGAGCATCTTGGATATTGAAACCAGTTCCATCCTGCATGGAACTATCTGAAACATTTCTTGATCAAACAACTCCAAGTTTGAACCCAAAAATGTGCATGTGCCTCTGTGACATCAATAATTCATAGTCATAAGAACTGAAAAAAATTGATGTAATTCATGACTTATTTAGGTAGGCTGCATCTCAGAAGTCCTTAGTTCAAACAGTGTTTACCTGGACCAGTACTCCTATTCCAGAGCTCCCTGAAGGTCAGCAGTTGTTAATTCAAGTAAGCATACATATTTTAATGCACTTAGCAAAATTGACTCATACACAGTAACCTAGACTCAGCTTAAACTATAGCAGAGCTAGTGGCCCAGCATCTAGCAGTTCTGTGCAAGTCAACTTGATTCTACCTAAACAGCAGAACAGAGTAGACCTTGACTGTATGTGGAGTTTAGGAGCTTCAAAGATGAGATCAGTGAGGTTTGATTCCTATGATTGATTGATGTATGTGACTTTAGGAGAAGCTAATGAACGTGCACACACAGCTGGAAATGTTGGCAGAGCAGAAGGAACACAAACTTGATACAGGAAGACTGGTATTTTGCAGAGATCAGAAGTTGGTAAGAAGCGTATGTTGAAAGAGGATGGAGAACCAGTGGTAGGAAGGTTCAAAGGTGAGTTGAATTGATGAAATGAAAGTGAATTTTTTGCTTCCTCTTAATGAGAATTAAAGGGATGCAAAGTTTGAGAGAGCAGCAAAGGTTTAACAGCTACTACTTATATGATAAGATTTAACATCATGAAATAGTGGCCTTCCAGTGTGCATCATATTAATTACAAAAAGGAGCATCTTGAACAATGTAGGTATAAGTTTTGTGTGTTAAATCATTTTAATACCATTAGAAAAAGACTAATTATTATTTTCTGCAAGATTGATCTTGTCTTTACTGTACAAATAACAGAACTATTTAATCTGAATATTGAAATGTTGTATTGGTGCTTGAGAAACTGATTAGAATGGGTGAAAGGGATAACAAAAATTTCAGTTGTGGTGGTTTAATGCTGTCAGACTTGTAATCCCCTATGAATACTAATTAAAACCTTTACAAAGCAAGAAATGTTTTAAATCTGGCTTCTAGTTGGAAACTGTTCTTCAGTGTCCATGTTGTCACTGTCCATGGATGAAATGAGTAAACGTTGTTAGTATCTACATAAACAAAGCTGGTCTCGAATGACTGTCTTTCTGCAGCTAGCTCATTACTAGCTCTCTATTTGTAAATGAAGAGGTAGAAAAAATTATTCATATATTGTAAAAAAAATTAATTTTGATGGGATGCACTGATAAAGATTTTTTGGACCGATACCAGTGGCCCATTATTGACCAACCATAGCAGCCGATACCGATTATTGATATGCAGCCTGGCAGCTTGGAGAGCGTTGTCAGGCTGGTAAGTCTGTTGGGGGAAGGAGGTGTGGGGTGGGGAGCAGATTGATGCCCTCATGGTGAGGGAAGAAATGGGGCTGGAGCTGGAGCTGGGGCTGCGCTCATCTGGAGAGGAGGGAACAGCTCCTGTTGCTGCATGTACCCTTGGAGGAGGCATGGTGGGCGTGTGCCCCCCTGGATCTGTACACGGGGTGAGGATGGCCTGCTGCTGCCTGCTCGGGGCTGGGGTTACTTCTGTGTCTTCCCAGCAGCTGCACTTAGGCCAGGCGGCGGGTGGTGGTGGCGGCGGCACTGGAAAGAGGTGCTACATTGAATTTTGGGGTGGCTCTAGTCCCCCTGTAATGCCCCCTCCCAGTGCCACCGCTTGCCCTGCCCAGCCTGAGCATAGCCACTGGAATGAGACTGAAACATCTCTGGCCTGCAGCAGCAGCCCGCCCTCATTCCATGCACAGATTTGGGGGTCACATGCCCCCCACTGCTCCCAAGGGTGCGCAGAGTGTCCGGAGCCGCCGCCACCCCCCCCTGCTCCATGCGCACTGGACAGAGCTACCAGCTCTGTCCCCTGCCCTGCCCTGGCTGGGCAGTGCCGGCCCCAGCTCCAGCCCCACTCCCTCCCTCACTGCGGGGGCCTTGATCTGCACCTGCCATGCCCGTTTCCCACCCCCCTCCCCCCCCACCGACTTTTCGGCTGGATGCTGCTCTCCACCCTGGCAGGCTGCACTTCTAGCTGTGTACATGCACACAGCATTTATCAGTGATGTCATTGGACATGCACCCCCTGAGATTGGTGGTGCACCCCCTTGCAAGAATCGCTGCCGATGCTGCCAGTGGCGTTCGTGGGTGGTTGCCGCTTGCCACCCCTCCCCCCCAGCCACCAACCATTGGCAGTGTCTGCGGGTGGTTGCCGATCACCGCAGGCCACTGCTGACACTGCCGGTGATATCTGCAGGTGGTCGCCACTCCTGCCACCGCCACCACTTTGGCTGCCTGCAGGAGCTCCCTGCTTGCTGCCACGGCTTGCGGGTAGTCGCCATTCCTCCCCAGCTTCTGGAGGTACACATTGTTCATGAGTGACATTATCAGCCACATCAGCCAAAAAAGCTGATTGTGTCAATATTCCTTCAATCGGTACCGATACAATATGGATCAGTATATCGGTACACAACTAATTTTTGACAAATTAATGAAAAAAAATCAGTAAATTGAAGTTAGCAATTAATAGATCACAATTTCAAACTCATCTAAATCTTGTCTCGGTCTGCGTGCCTTGGTGTTTAAGTAAAGGCATCCATGAATCTGTTTAGTGCACGAAGATTGTCTTTGCAATTATGTAACTTTATGTTTACATCCATGTCCTTTAAAAGGCATAGCCTTGAGGTTAAAAAGGGTTATGTCCATACCTAGTGGTGTTTGACCTTTCAGTCCCACTGGCTGGATGAGTGGTGTGGGGCTAGTCAGCAGGCCCCTCCACCTGACCCCACATGCCTGGATCAGGCCCTGTGCCTCCCCAGCCTTGTGGGAAATTTGGCAACATGAGAGTGGCAATGAATGTTGTCACAGCTCCCCCACCACCAAATTTTTAGACCCGTGGGCCAAATAATACAGCTACATGAGGTGAATCTGGCCTGTGAGTGGGAGATTGAGTGTACTCTTGCCCTTATGCAGTGTTTGCATTCATACAACTGAATATAATCAATGCTACGTACCCAATCTTGTTGCAGCTGTAGTACTCACCAGCTTCAAAACATTATTTTGAAGAGGCAAGAATCTTTTATTGGATCAGCTGTATAGCAGAGTTAGGCAAGTTTTTGAATGCAAGACATTCTTTACCAGGTCACAGCTACAACATCACTCCTGCACCCATCATTTTTAAGGCTTTTTAATAATCAATTGGGAGGCTTCTGTTTCAGCCCCTGAACCTGACTAGTTTTCATCCATCTCAAGGTTTGTAATATAGCAAACTTTTGACAACTCAACCACATTCACATGTATCTGCAGTTGACAAATTGGTTCTCAGGGCATTCCTTGGAAAATACCATCTCTTAGCTTTTACTCTTTTTTTAACTACAGAAGAATAATAGAGCAAATTTCTGGCTTGTTGTAGTTTGAATTCTTTGCAGCAGAAATGTTTGACTGTGTGGATTCCAATTTGAAATACCTGGGTTTATCATGTATCGATGTCTGCACACCTAACAGTGCTAATATTGCATGGCAGTCTCAAAGATTTCAAGGCACCCCAGGGGACCACAGTACCCCGCGTGAAAATTACTGAGTTAACTGGAGTACAACTACCCATACTTTCTCAAGCACAACACGTACCTTTCTTTTTCCCAAAAACAGCTGCTGGAAATTGGGGTTCACGTTGTATGTGAGAAATACAGTAAGAATAGTTTCTGCTGCTTACCAGGCAAAAGCAAAAGTAAAGTCTGTACTGGATCCACAGGGTGCAGAACAATGAGAAGGCTTTGCTCCATAGGGGCTACTACTCAGTGAGTGCATTTACACTTTCAATTAGTATGGCACAACCAACTCTGTTGCAATTTGCACCAGAGTTAACGGCTCCTGGGCACAGTATCTACATGTATGCCCAGGACAATAGCAGTTTAAGCCATGGCAGAGCAGCCCTGGGCTAGCAGCAGCCTAGCAGGGGCCTGGGCCCCAGGTCACAACATCAGTCAGCATAGGGCTCTCTGGGATACAAGTGTGCCCAAAAAATGGAGCCATGTGACTAGGCAGCAGGCGGGGGTCTGGCTCCCTGCTGACTGGGCACAGTTTACACCCGAGTCTGTTTATACATGCGTTTAGGCACAGTTATTTTAGTCACTGTAAGATAGAACTGTCCCCAACAGTACTATCTTATGGCAGTGAAAAATATTATGTTGCAGTCCAGTAGCATTACACTTGTAGACTATGATGCTTTACAAGGAAAAGACCTACTTAACTGCAGAGTAGACTAATTTCATAGAATCATAGAAAATTAGGATTGCAAGGAATTTCAGATCATCTAGTCCAAACCCTGCTCAAAGCAGGACCAGCTCCAACTATATCATCTCAACCAAGCCTTTGCCAGGTCTTAAAAACCTCCAAGATTGGAGATTCCACAGCCTCTCTGGGTAAACTGTTCCAGTGCTTTACTATCTTCCTAGTGAGAAAGTTCTTCCTAATAACTAACCTCAACTTCCCTTGCTGCAACTTGAGACCGTTGCTCCTTGTTCTGTCATCTGCCGCCACTGAGAACAGTCTAGCCCCATCCTCTTTGGAACCTCCTTTCAGGTAGTTGAAGATTACTATTAAATCTCCTCTCATTCTTCTCTTCTACAGACTAAATGCTCCCAGTTCCCTCACCCTCTGCTCATAAGTCATGTACCCCAGGCCCCTATTTTCATTGACCTCTACTGGACTCTCCAATTTGTCCACATCCTTTCTGTAGGGAGGGGCCCAAAACTGAACATAGTACTCCAGATGTGGCCTCACCAGTGCCAAATAGAGGGGAGGAATCACTTCAGTTTGCTGGCAACGCTCCTACTAATGCAGCCCAGTATGCCATTAGCCTCATTTGCAACATGGGCACACTGTTGGCTCATGTTCAGCTTATTGTCCACTGTAACCCCCAAGTCCTTTTCTGCAGAGCTGCTGCATATCCATTCGGTCCCCATGGGATTGTTCCATCCTACGTACAGGACTTTGCAGTTCTCCTTGTTGAACTTCATGAGATTTTTTTTTTCCATCCAGTCCTCCAATTTGTTGTGATCTCTCTGAATCCTAGCCCTATCCTCCAGCATATCTACAGGGGCAAAAATTTACCAACCCTTGACATAAAGAATTATGCCCGTCCCAATTTGTTGCCTGTGTTAGGCATTTCAGCAAATTATACACTTTTAGGTTTGCACGTAAGTTGTTTTTAGGGAATTGAAAACAATATAGAGAACATCATTGCGCCACTATACTAATCCAGAGCATGCCTACTTGAATTCTGTGTGCAGTGCTGATCCCCACATCTCAAAAAGGATGTCATAGAATTAGAACAGGTCCAGAGAAGGGAATCTGAAATAATCAAGGGCATGGAGTATACCAGGTGAAACTAAAAAGGCCAAGTCTCTTCAGTTTGGAAAGGAATAGGCTGAGGGAGCATATGATAGAGGTCTAAAAATGAAGGGTGTGAACCAAGTGAACAGGGAACTCTTTTTGGCAAGTCCCAGAAAACTAGAATTAGGGGGCACTCACTGAAATTAGTAGGTGACAGCTTTAAAACTAACAAGAGAAAGTACCTTTTTATACACGTAGTTAACTTGTGAAATTCATTGCTACAGGAGGTGGTGGAGGCAGATAGTCTAGCCAGGTTCAGAAAGGGACTTGATAAAATAATGGATGATAGATCACTTAATGGCTGTTGAACAGAATGGTTGGAGCTGTTTCCTCTGGCATCTCTAAACCAGTAATGGTGGATACCAGGGAGTGTATTGGGTGGATAATTCTACAGATACCAGGTTCCATGTTTTTATCTCCAATATTGGCAAATGTGGGAGGGAAGATGCTGGGCTAGATGGACCATCAGTCTGACCTAGTATGGCATGTCTTATGTTCTTATTAGTATATTGTGTGAACTCTGGATTTTTCTGGTGCACTTATGGATTGCCTGTGGTCATGCAGCTGAAAATGTTCCCCCCCCCCACCCCCCTTTTGACTTTTATTATCTAGATCAGCATTCTAATCACGTTAAGTGATTTCAGGATTTTATTTTCTATTCTTTTTACAAGTCCAGTAGGAAAATAAGCAAATGTCTAAATTAATGCCTTTAAGCTTCTCAGCACTAATGTTGTTTTAACTACATTAATTGGATGCTAATTGTGTCTTTTCCTTAACAGCATTGCTGAAATACAGAAAGATGTGGAATATCGGTTGCCATTCACTATAAAGAACCTCACAATTAATATTAACATGTGAGTAGTAAAAGACCTAATTGAGAACTTAAAATCATCCTTGCAGATGATAATCTTCATAAGCTTAAGGCATGGATTCTGCTTCACTTTTCCCAGGGAAATTTCAGTGAAACTACCTAAGTATAGAACTTGAGGTGTGTAAAGGTTTTCATTATCAGTTCCTAAGCAGCCAGGTTTTGCAGCAAAATTCTAGGCACCATAAACAGCATGTTTTTAATTGTGGGTACCATAATTTAATTTTCTTTACTTGTTTCTTCTCCTTAAACTAACTGGTACCTTCAAAAACATATCAGTCATACAAAATTAGTATCTCATTGACCCCATAGTATATATAGAATTTAATACCATGTTTCTCTGAATGTTTCTTCTGATCCTTTGTTTTGTTGTTGTTTGGGGGTTTTTTGCAGACCCTAATGCATTCTGGTCACAAGTATTTGCTGATTTTTTTTTTATTATTATTTTTTAAGGCCCAGGCATTTGATAGTTCGCCTGGTCATTTTGGGCTGTTTTTGGTTGGTTGGGTTTTGTTTTTATTTTTTCCTGCTGTTCCCAAGACATCATCCTCTTCCTTTAAGTTTGTATATTGTAAAACATCTTAGAAGTATTTCAGCCTTCTCAGCTGCATTGATAGGCACAGTCACTTAATTGTTATTCCAACCACTTTTTCTTTTTTCAGACCAACTACTCTCTTCCATGAGAGAGAATATTAACATTCTCTTTATGAAGAGAAATCAGCAGCTTTTTTCCTGATGTTTATAATAACCTGCCCTGAAAGAACTATTCAGCTTTCAGTTTTCACAAGTGCAATAACTGATTTTCAGTTTTCACAAGTGCAATAACTGATCTTTGTGTATGCCTCATTACTTCCTGAGAACAATCATGCACATATATGCAAGGTAGTGTGCTTAATTATGAAATTTTTCTGCAAGGTAACATGTTTCTGTTAAGATAAGCTTACCGTAGACCATAAGAAATGGCAGCAGTGATGAAGTATTTTTGTTTTGTAGCTTGCTTCCACCTCAGTTTCCTCAGGAAAAACCAGTGATCAGTGTTTTCCCACCGATAAGACATCACTTAATGGACAAGCAAGGAGTATATGTGTCATGTCCATTAATAAGCAATGTAGGTATAATGTATAACTTCATATGATCCTAATATTACCCGATAAACTTTATGCATGCAGTACTCTGATTCTTTCAATACTCATCACAAATTGAGCAGCACGTGCAGTTACAATATTACTGTATAATTCACTAAAATGTCCCAGTGACACTAGTATAAGATGAAGCAATTCAAATATTTTTCTCGTGTGCTTTAAAAATGGGTAGCATTTAATAAATTGGAGTTAATACATTTTCCTACATTATTGTGATATTGCTGTAATCTAAAATTAAATAACTTTTCTTGATTTATTGATGGATACAACACAGTGCAGACCTTTAGCTCTACTAAACATTCCCTATTTACATGTTTCATTTGTTTTCACTGCCATCACAGCTATGCATTCTAGTGACTGCCCTTCCACCCCTCCCCCCCCCAAACACGCGCACAGAGACACGCACAATTCATTTAAAGGTAAATTTATCCTAGGAAGCTGTCTGTCACTTCTTGTTACTTTCAAATAATATATCCAGTTTTGTAATTCACAACAGTTCTTGTGAATAATTTAACTTACAAATAATTTGAAAGAATTATGAGATAACATTAAACATTAGGATTAGACAGAGAAGGTTCTTTGTCTGCCTATGCCCTTAGACAAACACGGCTATAATTTATACCCCTGTAAGATTAGGATTATGTAGTCATCTTTCCATCCTTGTTAGAAGAGGGCCATTTACAAGTGAAGGTATACACAGATTTCTAGTTGCATGTTATCTTTCCTCTTATGTGCAGGAATATATACATGAGTTACAGTTCCATGTTTTGGCATATTTTTATGATGTTGAATTAAAAAGAAAATAATTATTGTATTAAGGTCCTTCAGTACTTTAGGAGTGCTAAATATAATTTGTTTTTCTACCAGTTCACAATGCACTCTGACCTTGGAAAAATTATTCAAAGTTTGTTGGATGAGTTTTGGAAGAATCCTCCAGTTTTGGCTCCTAGCCCAACATCATTTCCATAGTAAGTATTCATAGAAGTAACAAGAATTCCTAAAAAAGTTGAGAGGTCAGATTACCCTCTTTTTTGTTTTTCAAATTTATAGAAAACCTGGATGAGTGATTCTCAGGTACTTGTTTTGTTCCTTTACATCTCATTTCATCTTTGGACTTCTCAGTTTCTTGAAAACAAGTGTTGCAGCTATATGGGCAAACAAATGTAAATTAAGCAAATTTAAATGTGCACATATCTGATAATTTAGGACAAATTTTAAACTGCTCAGTTTAGGGCCTGTTTACTTCACCCTTACTGTATCAGCATGGTAGTTTAATGTTAGTGCTTTTGTACTTTTGAGGAATGATTAATGTGTACATCTAGCAAATAAAAGTCTTGAATTAGCCTCAGGTCATGATCCATGTGAGCATTGCATGTCTTGCTTGATGCCCTGTTGATGACCTCAAGACTTTAATCTCCCAGGCTAGAAGGCAGCTTGCTTCTAACAGGATTGTGCTTCTAAGGGATAATTGGATTAAATATGTAAAGATACTACAGTGTTGTTCATGCTGCAGAAATTGCTTGTTGCGGGCAAGTGGTTTTAGGGATGGATGTAGTTGAACATGCTGCAGTTATGGTTTAAAAAATTGACATTTCAGGAGTAATTTTGCACTTCTTTCCAATGTTTTTTTTTGTAGCATAAGCAGACTTTCACGGACAGCACAGGTCTGTTTTAAGGACCTGATTTGGAAACAGAGTTTAAACAGATATTCTCACATTTTGAGAGAAGTATAGACCTGAATTTACACTTCAGTTGGCTCTGTCACAAACACATGCAAAACATTTCAGCTGTTTATCAGTATGTAGATAGCTATTTCCTAATAATGCATGCCATTGTATGACTATCAGTACAATGTAAAGTAAATTAGCGAAATTTATCATTTGTGTGTCCTTATTTCACAACTGATATTTGTGAACTACTTTAAAAGCCAAAAAATGTATCTTGTATGTACTCTAGTAACCTCAGGCTTTTTGTAAATTATTGTAAATATTGTAAGTGAACAACAAGTATTTTAGTTGCTTATGGCAGTTTTTTTTAGCCTTTACAGTAAACCAGCTGGAATGCCTCCTTATGCTCCTCAGGGTTTTCCATTTCTTCCTCCATACCCACCACAAGATACAAATAGATCTATAGCTTCTGTGCCAGTTGCTGAATCAGTTCCTTCAAGTTACGCTACAGATAAATCTGCTGCTCCCTCGTATGGCTTGATTGCTGATCTGCCTTTACCTGTTCCAACAACAGAAGGATTACTGCAGGTTTGTGCATGTGGTGAGGTTTGCTATTCAAGCTGTTTACTGCTGCAGCCTTCAGAGCTAGTCTTAATTTTGGATAAGGTGGCTAAGTCGGAATTTCACATAGAACTCAAAGGGGCAGGATGGGCGACTTCACTCATTTGCTTTGCTGGCAGCAACAAGAGAAGGCAGTCATTCTGGCCATGGCAAGAGCTTCTTAAATCAAACTAAAGCCAAAGCAGAGAGACTCTGCTTTCTTTACCTGTGTGTTAATACCTTCACGTGTTCCTTTTGAGCCATGTAGGAATAGCCTCTGAACTGTTTAGTGGCTGTTCAGTCAGTTTTAAAGCCGAACTGTACATTGTTTCATACCGGGTTTTTCAGGTGAAGTCTTCTCTCCATTGCATGTTTAGGGTGTTTTTTGCCTATTTTTTTTTTTCTTTCTTCCTTTGGGTCAAGAAGCTTCTCTTGATGGCCTCACAAAAATTAAAATAATTTTTTACATGCTCTAAAGGGTGCTTCATATGCCCACTCCAGAGAGCTTGAAAAGCATCTTCAGTGTTCTAGTCTTAAACCCACACCATGATGAAAATCTATGCCTCCTGAGGTAAAGAAGCTCCACCGCCAATAAAGATTAATGGGCAGACACAGCTGTAGAAAGTTCAACAGAAATAAGATTAAATAAATGAATGGATAGTCACCCTTTTTCATATCATTAAGTTTGAAATGAAAGCAGCATTTTGCAAAGGCTGCTTTCAGAAGGCATGGCCAGCATGCTGTATTCCCTGATTCTTATTTTTCTGAGGTATTGACCCTGTCTCTTCCCTGGAGTTGGGTACTGAGGTTGATACAGTGGACATTAGAGAAAAGTAACTTCTTTCTTGTTTGTTTGATTCCTCCCAAGTCCTATGCCACTCCAAGCATCCCACTCACTTTTGTTATGGTGGCTGAGTGAAGATAAGTGAGTGTTGTCACAAGAGTCTGTGTTTTGTTTTGTTTTTCTTTTGCCAAAGCAAGACTTGACAGATTAGTAGATAAATATTCTTGCCAAAGAGTTAGTCATATTTTTAAATTTCTGTTCAGGTTGGCCAGAATGGGTTCAGTTACAAGATGCCTGATGTCCCTGATACATTTCCAGAACTCTCAGATCTAAGGTACAGTCTTGGGGAGAGAGAAGGAAAAAAAATCGCATGGCAATTATAGCTTGAATCAAAGTATTTTGTCATTTCTATGATGTCATCAAACAAGTTTCATTAGGAGAAAAGTACTCATTTGCTGTGATTTGCATGGTTTCTGCTGGCTATACTATAATCTTTCCAGAGCTCAATTTTTCTTGCTCAGATTCTTTTCAGTAGAGAAACATAGTGGGAACTGTGGGTAAATTCAAATGTTTTTCATTTTTCAAACAGAGTGTTTTGCTATATCCTCTGCATCACTGAGCACTTCATTACCCACCCCAGGAGTGTAACTGTTGAAGGAAAAAGAGAAAGCTGATGCATATTTTGTGTTAAGGCTGCTTGCTGCGGTTCAAGATGTATACAGATTATTATGTTTGTGAAGTTTCATGTTTGTTAAAACAAAAAGTGTTTTACAGCAAGCATTTAATGCATACTACATAGATATTTAAATACTGAAGTGCCAAATAGTCTGATCTTTGAGACAGTTTCTCAGGCCAGTTACTTGCATTTGGAAGAACTAAACTCCTTAGTTCAAATAGGTTTCAGTCGCAAAGTTATTTCACCTTTTTGTTCCGATTTTACCCTCCATTGCTATATTTGATTGATCAGAAGCTATTTTTTGTAGAAAGCAAGTATTTCTTTCCTTGTTCTTTCCCAAACTTAGGAGGAGGAACATTCATTTATGCGTTTCTCTGGATGCAAAGAATCCTTTTATTTAAGGACTTGTCAGAAGCTGTGCACACTGCACATGGAGTTTAATCATGAGATTTTCAGGATGTTTTATATAATCAGTTTTGTTTCAAAGAAACAATATTACCAACAAGTCTGAGCTTTTCAAGATAACCAGATTGATCTTTGACTTACTAACTTCACTTCCTCAGCTAAGGAATCAGAATTTTTCAGCATCATAATAGCTACATTTCTCAAATTGTGTTGCATCTAAACTAAATGACATATCCAAGAACTTTAAGCTAGTAAGGACTGTAAGTAAAGACATTCAGATCCAGCAGCCTTTTAGAGCCCTTCCAGTGCAAATGGTAAAGCTGCAGTGCAGAAAAGAAACAGAAAATGAACGGTGTGACTTCTTTGCTGTTGAGAGAGAAATCCAGAATAAAGCTAGATTTTATCTTTGAGACATGGTAGGTATTGTCCTTTTTTATAGGATGCTTGGCCTCCTGTATAACCATATTTTTCTTATTTTTGAATGCAGTATATCTCAGTTGACAGATATGAATGAACAAGAGGATATATTGCTGGAACAGTTTGTGAATCTACCCCAGCTGAAGCAAGTCCTTACTGATAAGGATGAGTTGGTGAAAAGCATTGAAGAACTAGCAAGTAAGGCTTGAACCACTTCTGTAAATATGGTTGTGTTTTAGGAGAACTGTTTGTGTGTGTATCTATGTTTACTTTAAGTAAATAACAGACTTGTTTTACAGAGAAAAACTTATTATTGGAGCCCAGCTTGGAAGCAAAAAGGCAAGCAGTGCTGGATAAAGTGAGTGAAATAAAATAATTTCTCTTTTTCTGGAAAAAGAGCTGTACTCCTCTTGGTTTTTAAAAAATATCTTTTTCCCCTAGTATGAACAGCTTACACAGCTGAAAGCCACATTTGAGAAGAAGATGCAAAGGCAACATGAGCTTAGTGAGGTATATAATCTTTTAAACTTGATATTTAGATATTTTTAATAACTTCACCAACACTAGTTTTTATTATACTTTTTTGTCCATGAAGAATATTCTTCTGGCTAAGTTCCACTTGTATAGTAATCTCTATATGTTTGGAAGTAAATTGAAGCCACGTAAGATTTCTGTACTATTTAGCACTTCAGTGTAAAATCTGTCTAGCCAAAGAAGACCGTACTACAACTGTACTCCTATTTCACATGTAGTAATACAGTAGGAATAAGCCTGGAAGGTATTGGATGGGATTCATTGGGAACCGTTTCTGACAGTTTCAACTTTTTGGCAGTCATTGGAGAGAGTCACAGGACAAAAACTGAACCAGTCTCGTACACAGTTGCAGCCAGATAAGGCTATAACCAAATCTTTCACTTTTATAGAATTAGCTGATAAAAATGGTCAAACCAATAATCCAGCCTTTAAACCCCATGCTTTGCCAACCTAGTTTAATTATTTCATCAGTACAAAAGTTGTCAAGCCTTGCACAGACTTAAGTAAAGACAGAAAAGTCACCATTAAAGTTATTTATAAAAGTTATTTCCAAGTACATTTCCTAAATCATGCATTTAAGAGCAACACTATCATACAGACTTCTCAGTGTTGTGCAAGATGAGGGTATGGTTTTTCCTTTTTTTTAAATTTGATTATATACTTACTGTATAATCACAACAGTCAAGATACAGTATCTTTTAACTTCAGAATGCCCAAAATATGTCCCCTAATCTCTCCTATTTCATGCTGTACTAGACTATAACGTTCAGCTGTTTTTGTATTTAATGTCAGTGAAACTTAAGAGTATGCAAGTAAAATGTCCTCTCTTTCTTTTAAACTAGAATAGCAAATTCTGATCTTCTATTGTTTGCCTGGCCAAGGTAAATTGACTCTCACATGGCTAGAGAAAGTAGACACTTTGAGAAACACTTTGCTTGTGTGAAGGAAAGAACGAAGTGGTAACAAATCAGAGAGGTAGTAAGCCTGTTGTTTCAAGCAATATAAATTAGTCACTTCCCTGCAGCTCTAACTTAAGCGAAGGCTATAGCGGCAGAAGAGCAGACAGTTGCTTCTGTACACAGATCACTACTCCCCCTTTCCGCTGTGCCTAAACTGGGGTTGTGCAAGTTGGAGAATCACTTGAATGCCTTTCTTTAAAATCTAAATAATGAATCTCAGTTACAGTTACAGATTGATTTAAATGCTAACCTCGTTTCCTTTTGTTAGAATAAATCGGAGCCTGTGACTTACTCCTACTTAAGCAGTGTCATTGAAGTCATTAGGCTTTGTGCAGTTGCATGGGGAGGTGTGCTCAAATCCAGCCACAGAATTGAGACCTGAGTTGCAACTCTACAAAACAACTCCTTCAGTCCTTTAGAACGCCCCTCTAATTTCCAATTAACTTAAACTCACTGATTGTTGTAGGTAGCAAGCTTTCAACATGGCTTGGCAATCTTGATACTACATGCATTAATCTGTGTTTGTACATTCTTTTTACTTTGTGTGATAGAAACATAGTTTTCAGTGAACACTTAACATTAATGGGAAAACTATTTTCTTTCTCAGAGTTGTAGTCCAAGTGCTTTGCAAGCCAGACTGAAAGTAGCAGCTCATGAAGCAGAAGAGGAGTCTGACACTATTGCAGAAGACTTTTTGGAAGGCAAAACAGAAATAGATGACTTTCTAAGCATTTTCATGGAAAAGAGAACAGTATGCATTCTACTCTAAAACATTAATGAATTGCATGTGCAATGTGCTATAAAACTAGATTCCTTTAAAACTTGGTTTAGGAGCAGTCCATTGGTTTAGAATGCTAGATTCTGCAACCTCCTGCAAGGTAAAAGTTTTGTTCACAATAGTGGTTTCAAGCACTCCACAGTAATTTTAAATAGCAGACCTGTTAAAATGCACACCTCTTCAGGAAGAGACCACTGAGTAAGAGTCTCTGCTATTGCAGACAGCTATACTATATCATTTTGATTAGTTTATCAAGCTGCATTTTAAAAACAGTTAGGCTCTTTGCCCCCACTGCTCCTAACGAAAGATTGTTTCAGAACTTCACTCCTGTGGTAGTTAGAAACCTAATTTCCAACCTAAACTTATTCATGACCTCTATATTCCCATTTGTTCATGTGCCAACATTTGTGCTTCTATTTTTAATGGGTCATTACCTCCTGGTGCTTACTTCCCACTGTATTACACAAAGCTGTTGTATCCTTTCTCTGCCTTTGTTTCACTATAAGAAACAAGCAAAGCTATGTTAGAATTTTCTCAGAGGATAAACTTGCTGTTCTCCTTATTTTAGTAGCCTTTTTTTGCACTTGTTCCAGTTTGAATTCATCTTTCTTGAGTGTGTGTGACAGGAATTGTACATTGAACTTCAGACAAGGCTTTACCATGACCTTGTGCAAGGGGGTTAACACTTTCATGCCTCTACTAGAAATATCTCAATTGATACATTCTAGGATTACATAAAAACTTCCATATTCCCTTCCATCCTTTTCTTCAGCAAGAGCCATTTCTCCCAAAAAATATGGTCCTTTCTTCCTTTCTTTATTATGTAAGAGAACCATCTGGGCAAATATAAGAAAGGGAGGAAGAAATAGGAAAATTAAATAAAATTTAAATTTAAATAAAATGGAAGATTTTTTTCCTAATCCCCTTATTCTGTTTCGGGGGTGTCAAATAATGGCCTGTGGACATCTGGCCCCTGGTACTGGTCCTGGATCTTGAGTTGACCCCCAAGCACGTCCTTTCTTCATACAGCATCCACATAGGGCCAGTCCAGGACATCCTTCCTCCCTGCTACCCTGGGCTCAGACCACTCCCTCTACTATGTATGCCAGATCCAGCACCCACTCCAGTTAGTCTGTGACCTGCGCTGCATGTCGTGCCCACCCAAGGCCAAATCAGTTAGATAAAACAAACTAAGGGTGTCTATCTAGAGAATAATGAAGAGTAAAGAATGTATGCTGTTCTTGCCCCTGGTTTGCCAAAAGTACACTAGTAGCAGCAGTGCATGGGCACCAAGACTCACGGTTGACAGCCCAGAGGTTTCAAGTTTGAGGATACAGCTGAAGCGCTGATGGCGCAGTCATGTCAGATTCCAAAGAATCTGTGAATTCTTCTAAATACCTTGTCAGAGGGATACGGAAAAGGAAGGGAATAGTAATGAATATGGAATATGGAAGGAATAGGGAATAGTAATGAATATGGAAGGAATACAATTAGTAATATGTTAACAATGCCTTTTACTGCAGGAGCCTTTTTCTCAATTATGAGAAGCTGACTGGCTTACTTGAATTGAAAGGGACTGCATTTCAATCCCTTTCAAGCCCATCAAATACCCAAGGTTTTCTTTAAAGAGTATTTAGTTATGTAGAACACAAGATAAGGATGTGGCAAACAATAGTTCTTTTCAAAGCTAGTAACTACTCTCTCCTTTGTGTGTCTTGTTTTCAGCTTTTCCACTGTAGAAGAGCCAAAGAGGAGAAACTTCAACAGGCAATAGCAATGCACAGCCAATTTCTTGCTCCACTATAGGTAAATTGATGCATTAAGATAAGCTCCCACACTTTTCATTATAGTATGCAACGTATTTACTCTTTGCTTACTATCGCGTACTTTATGAAAGCTATCAATATTTTTAGTAATACCTTGATACACATAGAAACAACTAATTTTCAGTTTTTATGCTGCATCTTTACAATGAAAGGAAACAGCATCTGCAAACTGTGTGGATGTAGCATTTTTCTGCATTGGGTATTCTGGGACAGTTGTTTCTGTAAAGTAGTTTTGGGCATACTAAGAAATATCTAATGCTTGAAATCTTGTTTTTTCAGACTTTCCTGTAAAGTAGGCCTGTCAAGAGAAGAGTGAACCAACTCAGTAAAGCACACTTTCTAATACCAATTATGTGCAAATAAACATTTCATCAAAATAGTTGCATTTATAGAACAGATTGTATACAGAGCTAGGACTGTTTTTGTAAAAATAGAATGTCTGTTTATATTCCCATTTTATTCAAGAAATTCTTCTATTGCAACCTTTGCACTAATATTTCTTGTGTTTATTGTTAATAGTCTCTATTATATTTGAGTTCCTGCTGCTATATCCCATTTTTCAGTGATTTAAATATCTAAACATGTACTTTTGACTAGCTTTTTACATTTTATAAAACATAATTCATATTTTTTTGTATTTTGAACTTGAAACATTAGTTTGGCTTGTTTAAGGGAGACTTTTGGAGTTGTTGGGATTTGGGAAATAAGATCGGAAAGTCTTTAAGTCTTCAAGATTTGTCAGTGAAGTAGCACGTTGTCTGTCCTTGGAGCCAAAAATGTTCAACAGTAGTTTATTTAAAATGGTTATACCAAACTAAATACTGCCTGCACTGTCTGGATAAGAATATTGAGTTTAAGCAAAGAATGCTTTGGAAGAAATTATATTGGAATCAAAATAGAATAAACATTGTTTGTAGATTTACTATCCATATTAGATGGACTAATGGAATCCTCATTTCTGGAGTAATGTGGCACCCAACATTGTATTGAAGTACTGATCTTACACTTGAACACTCTGTTGTTTCAAGTAAAACAATATTTGTGCAAAAAAAAAATAGCAGCTCCTTTTTACTTAGTTTTTCTAATTTTTTTTAGTTTCGGTTATAGCTTGTGATTAGTGACCTCATGAACTTAATTGTCAAATCCCCTGCGAATTGTCCTCTATCCCTTCTTTTTCAATATGCAAAGAAATGGTTTTCCCAGTGCATTGTGTCAAGGCCAATAGTAGAACTCCAGAATAGTGATTGCTAATCCTTTCCTTTACCTCAGACCCATTTTTATTAATTAAATTTTCTTTTTTAGGAAGGGATATGTTAATATGTATAGATAGCAGAATTACGAATGAGGGCCTAGTAGAACTCTACAAGAGAAAAAGCAGCTCTTGATTCCAAATTGAGTGTTTTGGGAGGTTTTTGGTGTGTGGGGTTTGTTTGTTTTTTTGTTTTTTGGGGTTTTTTTTATCATGTCTACTTTCTTAGTGAACTAAGCTCTGAAGTTGAAATGCAACAAGCACTGCATCCTCATTTTGGGACAGATAGCTCAATATCTACAGCTTTCAATTTTTTTTCTGTTGTATTTTTTTTTTTTCTGGAATTTTGATTCTGTTTTGCTTCTTTTTGGAGAGGCAGGGTGGATATTCTGGACTTCTTCAGAAAGGAGATTAGCATTTCATATTCTTGAGTCTGCATCTATACACTGATCTGTGACCTTGTTACATCTTGAAGTAAGCAGCATTGGACCTGGTCAGCAGTACTTAGAAGTTTCCCATCAGTGAAATATATCAAAGGTTTCCTATCAGTGGGTAGTTCTAACCTTTGAGTCACTAGGGACCTCAGTACTCACCCGTGTCAGGTGGTGTTTTTGAGTTTGATCTAAAACTGAGGTCCTTACTGTAGGCATTTGTTTTCAAATGTAGGACTAATAACATGCGTCTTCTGCTCAAATTCTGAGTAGAGAAATTTTCTGCCTTACTTAAGCACCTGGCAGTATAGTTTATGCGTGTATTTGGCTTGCTGGTATAGTTAGCGATGCATCTCTCTTGTGGCTTTTTTAGCCAGCAGGCTGTAAGGCTGGATATACTGGCAGAAGGTTGAGGAAGTCAGCTGTTCTGTTCTTATCATGTCCTGTGTTGTCAGGCAGTGTTGCGCTGAGGCAGAGTAATTAGCCCTGATGCAGACACACACCTACTGCCAATCTACTTCCATTCCTGAGTTAGGCTATTTCTGCAGCCTGCCTGGCTGCTAGTAGGCTGTGGGCCATGGAGCTTTAGACAGTTGGCCACAGCCAGGCCACTAGATTTGGAGGGAAGGCAGTCTGCTTGCCACTGCTAGCTATTACCATATAGTCCTGTGATGTGCAATATTACATTGCTGTATTTTAGGGTTTACAAATATTGATCTCTGGACTTTATAGTGTCTTTCATTTTGTAAAGTGGATGTGGAGTATGAGAAGTGCTATGCATGTAAGACATTTAAGGAAGAGATCATTGAAGATACCAGAGCTGGTGACTTAGTTTAGTCCTTTAATCATTAAATCTCCCTCTCGGAAAACTACTACTTACGCGAGAGGATAAAATAATTGTTAATGTGCATGGATACCAGACTTACAACCAAGGGCCCAGTATAGTTCTGTGAGAGGAAAAATAAAACCCAGAGTACAGTTTCATGGGGGGTTTCCTTATCAAGCTTGCCAGTAAACTTGGCCTTGAAATGAACACACAGACTGTAGGAATATGATCCAAAAAGGTATGTGTCAGAAGCTGTCTAACACGAGTGCTGGTCTGCGCCACAACTGTGATGCAGGTCAGAGTTGTAGCTCCAGCCAAAACCCAAGAAGCATTAAAGCAGAATTCCCACAGGAGGTGTTCCCACTGGCTTGCCTTGTTAATGGGGTGTCATCCTGTAAATGTGCTCCAAGGGTGCCTAAGATGGAAGCATCCTGTACTACAGACTCTTGTTGCTGTTCTTTTGCACTTGTCCTTCACCAAGATGTAGGACGCCTTGTTTCAAACCCTGCTGTGCTATGATTTGGAGCAGGGATCCAAACCCAGCTTTCCCAGATTAGTGCCCTGATCACCAGACTTTGGACTTGGTGCCTTCTCATTTCCCATTTGAACTCTTGCACTGTGTATAAATGTTTAATGGGCAGAGGCTTGAACCTCAGTTTCCAGATCTGAAGCAGATAAGTCTTTCTCGGGCCCAGTGAACATTCTGTATGCAAATATCTGTCCTGTGTGAATCAGGTGAAGCAGGACTGGTTAACCTGGCCCTCCCTATCTCCAGAGAGTGCTCTAACTAGTAGTCTATGGTCTTGTATTTTGTAAACAAGAAAACCTGGCTTAACTTGTCTGAAGGCAGGCGCCTTTGTGCCCAAGGATGCTATATGGAAGAGGAGACTTCTCTCCCATCAGGTCAGCCTCTAAACTGCCAACATGTGCACATAAGCCTTTCATTTTGCTCTTGCCTAGCTTTGGTGGTCCCATGCTCAGCTGGAGAGGATTCTGCTATGGGGCAAGCATTGACACTAGCAAAGTATGTCCAGGGTGTACCAACCTTTGCTCTTCCCTTTCCCTTTTACATTGCTAAGTTCTTTTTTCTCCTCACAGTGACAAGATCTGTAGCTTCTCCCGAGTCCCCCAAATGCTCTCCAAACAAGTTTAAAATGCCCTCTGTTTTAAATGTACACTTGAACTCAAAGCGTCGACTTGACTACTGGTGTTCTTTACCAACTGAATGATGAAGGCAGGTAGATTTGGCTTGCGGAAACGCTAGTAACTCGTATTTTCCCCTGATTACTTGTCTTGTATTTCAGGATCATCAAGTATAACTTCACTCCTACTCTGCTTTGAAATGAATGCACACTGTGTACTAGAGTACTCTACAAGTACTAAGAGTACTACTCTTAGGCTTGTAGAAAGTACTTTCTGTAATACTGCATGTTCCAAAAGTTATTAAGCTGTAGTAGAAACTCTAGGAAACCAAGGACTACTATGGCAAACCCCCAGAAGTTTGCTATGTGGCAAAGTACATTCTGAAGTGTTAACACAATTTTCCACTTGGTATAACATCAGCTTTAGTAACTTGCGGTAACAGAACTGCAAAGCTAATTTGTTATCATGTTAATTTTAGTCTCATTTAGTTTCTCATTTAGTTACTTTTTCTGTACTGCAGGTGCTGATTTAATTTGTTTTATGGCAGTTTAATGATAACGTATTCTAGAGCCTTTATTTCTGATCTCCATAGTAAAGATTGTTTTTCTTTTCTTTTTTTTTTTCAAATGTAAAATCACTTTCTGTCATGGGCTGACTGTTAGAATAGAGAGCTAGAGTCAATAATAATAATAGTAACACACACGAGATTTTTCTCCAGTATCAGGCAGTGAAGTAAGTAGATTGTGTGGGGAATGTCTCTCATAATTCTGGTTAGCAGTATTTTTTTTTTAAACTGAAAGTGACTGTCCTGAAACAAGAAACCATTTTAACCTGTTTTGTTTAGGGTCTAATGCACTTCACTTGCTACTTCATTTTAAGCAGAGGTTGACCACGGTGCCAAAAAACATTCACCAGCACCATGAGCAATAGTATTTGATTATTATCAGTCCATGAGATGATTGTTTAAATGTTAATTTGGCTTTACGCTTTGAACTTCAGCCAAATGAGGGAACAGTCCGAAACAACAGGGGATTCTTACCAAAGGCTCCATTAATATTTCTCTTAAAGACTTAGGAATATGTCTGAGGCTTCGGGGCTGCAGAAGTAAACCTGAATAAGATCCCTGGGGAGGACATTTTTAACGTTCAGTTATTAGCCTTATCTATGCATGACTGTGAGCAAATAGTGCACGTTGTAATATGTTGAACTATGAATAAAGGTTTGTTTGTTTTGTTTTTTTAAAAAAGTGACAGCCCTTTATCTTCCTTGGTATCTTGCTCACTAATTGCAAAGCATCGGTAGTGGGTAATTAGGAAAATGGAATTGAGAAGCAATTTCTAACCCTCAAGCAATCTTTGCATCCTAATAACTAGGGATGAACTAGTTTCATCATGAAAAAATCACGATGAAACTAAATTTTTGCAGGCTGGTCATGGCATACAGAGCAAATTCTGCAGATAGTTCCCTGGTGTGTTCTGCTGGCCCCGCCCCTTGGCACTGGGGTGGCCCCGCCCCACAGCACAAAGGGTGGAGGGGGTGGCTGCCATCTTGTCTACTGGCTGCCCATCTCTTAGTGCTGACTGGTGGAGAGGCCTCAGTGGGGGGAGGAGGGACGAGGGGGCAACCACCATCTTGTCTGCTGCCCTTTGTGCTGCCCTGGCAGGTTGCGCCTTCTCCCCAGCCCCCAGTAGGCTGTAAGACTAGGCCACAGTAGCATCAAGGACTGCTGGCTTCCACTGGGGAGCCAGCATTTTGCTTGTATTATTTTATTTTTTAAGTCAGTTTCATGGACAATCCTGGATTTCATGGTTTCTGTGAAATTCGTGGAATCACAAATTGAGTAGACCCCTACTAATAACAGAATAAATGGTTTGGGGCAGATTTCCCCTTCTTTCTGCCTTGAGTTGCTCTGTCCTTCTTGCGTCTCTGGACAGCATTAAAATACAAATGTTTTATTCAAAATAATGTTCTACTACAATATTAATAAGAACTGTTGCAATGTTATGTTGGCTTTCACAGTTCTGTGACTCCTCCCTTTGAACCCGTATACTTCCTCCTGCTCTGATCCACCCTGTGCAAACTGCTTCACCTTGTCTTTCAGGCCCTACGCATCTTTTTTTCTCCCTATCTGTGTGCTCCTGTATTACTGTTGCATAGTTCACCAGTGCCAGATCATTCCTTCTCTTGTCCGCTTATCCTGGACAATTGGAAAATTGAAAATATACTGCCTGTCTTTAAGAAAGGGAAGAAGGAGGATCCAGGGAACTACAAACCAGTCAGCCTCACCTCGACCACTGGAAAAATCAGGGAGCAAGTCCTCAAATCAAGGAAAATCAAGGAATTTATTTCTAAGGACTTGGAGGAGAAAAACAGGGATCAGGAATAGTCAGCATGGATTCACAAAGGGCAAGTCATGCCTGACCAACCTGATTGCCTTCTGTGATGAGCTAACTGGCTTTGGGTGTGGGGAAAGCAGTGGACATGCTGTAGTTTGACTTAAGCAAGACTTCTGATACTGTCTCCCACAGCATTCTTGCAAGCAAGCTGAGGAAGTTTGGATTGGATGAATGGATTGTAAGGTGGATAGAAAGGCAGCTGGATCATTGGGCTCAATGAGTAGTGATCAATGTCTCAAACTCTAGTTGGCAGCCAGTTCATTATTAACAATCTGAAGGATGGGATAGATTGCACCCTCAGCAAGTTTGCAGATGACATCAAGCAGGGGAGTATAGTAGATACTCTGGAGAGTAGGGCTAGGATTCAAAGTGGCCTAGGCAAATTGGAGGATTGGACCAAAAGAAGTCTCATGGCTCAGTAAGGAGAAGTACAAAGTCCTGGACTTGGGATGGAACAATCCCCTGCACCACTACAAGTTTGGGACCAACTGGCTAAGCAGCAGCTCTATATAACAGGACCTGGAAGTTATAATGGATAATAAGCTGAATATGAGTCAACAGTGTGCCCTTGTTGCCAAGAAGGCTCTAACAGCATACCGGGCTGCATTAGTAGGAGTGTTGCCAGCAAATTGAGGGAAGTAATTATTCCCCTCTCTCCTGCACTGGTGAGGCCACATCTGGAGTACTATGTCCAGTTTTGGGGCCCCCACTATAGAAAGGATGTGGACAAGTTGGAGAGAGTCCAGTGGAGGGCAACAAAAATGGTTAGGGGGTTAGGACACACTACTTACAAGGAGAGACTGAGGGAACTGTGCTTATTTAGTCTGCAGAAGAGAAGACTCAGGGGGGATTTGATTAGCAGCCTTTAACTATTTAAAGGGTAGTTACAAGGAGGATGAAGCTTGACTGTTCTTAATTGTGACAGTACAGAACCAGGAGCAATGGTCTCAAGTTGCAGCAAGGCAAGTTTAGGTTGGATTTTAGGAAAAAACTCTCACTAGGAGGGTGGTGAAGCACTGGAACAGGTTACCTAGAGAGGTGGTGGAGTTCTTGGAGGGTTTTAAGACTCAGTTGAACAAAGCCCTGGCTGGAATGATCCTAGTTGGGGCTGGTCCTGCTTTGACCAGCGGGTTGTACTACATGATCTCCTGAGGTCCCATCCAACCCTAATTTTCTATGATTCCATACAGCTTCCACCTGTTCCTGTGTGTAGAAAATCCTTGTACAAATTTGGCCAACCTGTAATGTCCATTTTGAAGGGGATATTTTTTTCTTAACTCAGGGAATTCCTGATCCCGTTGAAGTCAATGGCATTATAATTTGGTCCTTGTAGCGATCGGGCAGCATAAATAATTTAACTTTAGAATTTTTCTCCCTTTATTTAGTTTGTCATGCCCCTGCAGCTTATTCCCCATTATGGTGCATTCTGAGGGAATAAATAGGACTTAGAGCAGGGTCTAACACTTTCTGTAGAAGTTGACTCCTTTTCATGCCTTTTTTCCTGGAGAAAGAAAGCTAATAAAAGGAGAAGGTAAAAACACCTTGTTCCAAATAAGGGGGCCAAAGTTTTTGACGGGTTTCATAGATTGTAAGGCCAGAAGACATCTCAGAAGATCATCAGGTCCATCCCCCTGCCCAAGCAGGAAAGACAACTGCGGTCAGGTGACCCCAGCAAGGTGACTGTCTAGATTTCCAGGGTAGGTGATTGCACCACCTCTGGAGGGAGCATATTCCACAGTCTGGACACCCTGACTGTGAAGTTTTTCCTAATATTGAGCCTGAATCTATCTTCCAGGAGTCTGTGGGCATTACTCCTGGTTTTCCCCTCAGGTGCTCTGGTGAACAGTTGTTCACTGAGCCCTTGATGTACTCCCCTAGTGTAGCGGTAAGCTGCTCCCAGGTCCCCTCTCAGCTGCCTTTTCTTCAGGGTGAAGTGTCCCAGATCCCTCAGCCTTTCCTTGTATGGTTTGCCACGCAAGACTCTGATCATACAGGTGGCTCTTCTTTGGACTCGCGAGCTTTTCCATGACCTTGTTAAAGTGTGGTGCCCAGAATTGGATGCAGTACTCCAGCTGCGGTCTCACCAGTGCTGAGTAGAGCAGATGAATCACCACCTTGCTTTTGCTGGAGATACATCGATTGATGCATGCCAGAGTATTATTTGCCCTACTGGCTACAACATTGTACTGCTGGCTCATATTCGTACTGTGGTCTATTTTTACCATCAGGTCCCTTTCATTTGTGGTGCTAGTCAGTTTGGTGCTGCCAAGCCTGTAGGTGTGTTGGGGGTTGCTCATCCCGAGGTGGAGCACTTTACATTTCTCGACGTTGAACTTCATCAGATTCTGATCTGCCCAACTTGCTAGCCTGTCGAGGTCCACCTGTGTCTGTAGCCTATCTGCAAGCATGACCATGCTTCTGCATAACTTCGTGTTGTCCGCGAACTTGGCCAGTGAGTATTTCGCCCCCATATCCAAATCATTAATAAAGATGTTGAAAAGTACTGGACCAAGCACTGACCCCTGCAGGACACCACTGCCCACTTCTTGTCAGAATGACACACATCTGTTTACTATGACTCTGGCTCCTATCCTGCAGCCAGTTTCTTACCCACCTGGCTGTCTTGGAGTTAAGCTCACAATCCTACCATTTTCTCACAAGGACATTATGGGGTACTAGATGAAAGGCCTTTTGTAAGTCAAAGTATACAATGTCAACCTGCTCTTGTGTCCAGGTGGCAAGTTACCTGGTCATAGAAGGAGATGAGACTGGAAGGCAAGACCTGCCCGCAACTAAGCTATGCTGGCTATCATTCAGAATCTTACCTTCTGCAAGCTTATTGCAGATAGATTCCTTGATGAACTTTTCTAGGATTTTCCCTAGGATGGAAGTTAGGTTGACTGGCTTATAGTTACCTGGGTCCTCCCTCCTACCCTTCTTGTGGATGGGCACAACACTGGCCCTCTTCCAGTTCTCAGGAACTTTTCCAGAGTACCACGAGTTGTGGAAGAGTTTCGCCGGGGTTCTGCAATTACTTAGGCCAGATCCTTCAGCACTCTCAGATGAAGATCATCCAGTCACAAATTATCCAGTGTGTCACAAATTAGCCCCATACCTCCACCCCTTCTCCCCAGTGCCACTTCCACCCCTTCCCTACATGATCTGCTCTGCTTGCTGCTCCCAGCCCTATACTCCCCTATCTGCTACTTTACTTTCTGGTCCATCCCCCATCTGCTACATGCCACATACTGAGACTGCCTGTACCAGAGGTTGGTTACCCCTCTTCTAAATTATAAATCTTTGGAATATCCTAAAATTATATTACCAAGTTGAGAGAGCAAGTGCCTCCAATGCAGTAATATGAAATAACGTTCTGTGGAGCTTAAGTATTTATTTCTGAAGTATTTTGTATGAGACTAGTATAATGCCACAATATATAACGTTACAACATAAACAAGAGGCCAAACCAAAATTTCAGGGCCTGAAAGGTATGCGACTGGGAACTGCTCAGTAATGACTGGTGTCTAAAATACCAATATTTTAATTTTAAAGGTTGTTACAATAGTTTGTTGAGTGACAGGAAGATAGCTTTTTCATTTTGCATCTATTTCTAGGCATATGTAATTGCACACAATAATAACAATGTACAACTTCACATTTTAACTTATTGACAATATTGCAGCAATCAAACTCATTCTTTTATATTTAGGCAGAATGTATTTGACCTGTTTTCACTGCTAGCTGTATACAGCATATATTTATTTTCTTAAAGAAAACCCATTCAAAATCTCCTTTTAATATAATTTGTACAGGCTATGTCCAAAATATGAAATACACTTTTTAAAATTAC